AATCAAATTGATTGGGTGATAATCTTGATTGTAGATTAAGCACTTTAGAGGACCACTTTAAACGAGATTGAACCTGCTGTTTGCGTTTAGAAATGTTTAATATTTAGACTATAGTAGGCCGTAATCAAGTACCAAATTAATGATTAAACATTTTATATTATATCTCACTTTTTTTCAGCGTAGAGTCCTCTGTTTTAATCGCAAATTATTTTACGTTATGTTTGCTCGAAATAGATTACAAGCTTTTGTTTTCACCGACTTTTATTAAAGTATTCTGATATTTTGTATAGTAGTATGAAGTTCTTTTCCATAACGAAGTGAAATCCATTGGTCTTTTACTCAACAGTATTCAATCCTAAATTATTGTTTCTTGTTCCAGATTTTTCAATCTTTTCCTCTTCGCTTTCAGCTCGCTTTCTGTTATGAAGTTTATTCATCTTACTTTCTCTTTTCCACTTATTAATAGGTCTTTTTGAAAACCTAAAAAAGTTTTTTATTTTATATTTCTTGTATTTCGCTCTTTCTTTAACTCCTGTTATTTGTGAATTTGGACCATTTCTAACTTTTGCTTTACCATATTTTTTGTACAGTTATTTACCTGTTTATTATTATTTTTGTATTTCGCTCATTATGATGAGTTTCCCTCGAAATAATAAATTGCTCTCTCCCTCCCCTTCCTCCTTTCCCTCAATTTTTCTTTTTTTATCTCTGCTCCGAAATCCTTTCTCACCTTGAATTCTCTTTTTTTTTTTCTTCGAGCAGTTCGAGCCAATAGTTATTTCGCGCGTTTACGATACCCGGATTTTATTTCGTCGGGCATTTAGCCGCAGGGCTCCGTTTTACAGGGGGAGAGGGGGGAGGTTAAGAGAAAGAGAAGAGAAAGAGAGGCCTTAACACCCAGAAATGATTTGGATGGTGGGGACTGTGAGAGGCTCGACAGTATCGATGTTTACGAGCTCAAATAAACGGCGCCGCCACCGCCGCCGCTCCCGCCATCGGCGGCGTGCGGTTATTTCGTATTACTTTGGGACTTTAATGGAGAAGGGAGCATTTTAAAATGCCGTATAAAAATCTCTCGACGCTCTCCTTCTAGACGGTGGTCGGAGGACCCACGTATGGCTCGGTGCGACGTACTATTTTCACGTTCACAAAAGAAACCTCACCGCGGGATTTCGACGTCGCGTCTCGCCGGCCACTTATTTCTTTACATCCTGCATCTTCCTTGCCTCTCATATTTCGCGATTTTTGTCAGATTTATCATTCACGCATTTAAAACTGCATTTAAGACCGTGAAATTCCAGCTTTTGTTGCTATTCTCTTTGTATAACTGTTATATTAAGTATAATAAATATCTTTTTTGTAATATGTAACTTATAATACTGGAATTCTTTTAAAGTATTGAATTAAATTAAGAGCCCTCTTTTTTTCATATTTCTTACAATTAGCCGTTTCTGCTAAATTTCCTGTAAGCGATTGTAAAAAATATCCAGCCAGCGAATAAAATTAATATCTTAACCACGATCTTTGCTTCTAATATCAAACTACGATAACTACTTGCAGTTAGTTGTAGCAGCGAGGTTGGGTTTCCTACGAACCTTGCAGATAATGGAGAAGAGAAGATGGCGATATTCGCGCCACGCCCGTAATCAATATCACCGCCATTGTCTTCAGCTGCGGTGCAGGCGTCGTAAATTTGGCAGAATGTTAATTCCAACGCGCGCGAGAGCGAGCGGCTCTCGCCTGGCAATTTTCGCAGCCCCGCCGTCGGGGATAATCACCACGTTTCTGCCGAGGTGTATCCCAGTCTCGAGGATCTAATGATGAATTTCGTGCTGCGCGGGTGAGCAAGCCTCGGAGCTTGGAAAACAAGAACGAGGAACGTGTCGGCCCGCCGACCTTAGCCGACACTTCTCGGCGAACTTCCACTTTCCTCCTGTCTAAACGTCCGTACAGCCATCACGCTTGTGGTGTTCCTTTTTATCGAGCCATCTTCCACCAAGCACGCCAGAGCGTCCATAAGTTCTTCTCGACGTGTCGGTTCGAGTCGCTATACTTTTCGGTTTAGGTCGTAACTCGTTTACCGGGTAGCATCTGTCGACTGTATTAGCTGTAAAAATGGCAGTCACGCAATATCCATTTTTAGCAGCGATAATTGCGTATAAACAATAAAATAGGATACAAACTTGGACTTATTTTAGTTTGCTTATTACGATTTATTATTTAGAAGTCATTATATCGTATTCTAAATATAATCGAAATGCTAAACTTTGTTAGCCTAGAGTAGATGAACGAAAAACTGTCTTAATTGCTATAAGGTAGCAAATGACGAAACGGAATATATAAAGTTAGCAGAAATCGCTCTTTGTAATTTCTCATGCTTTTATTTTGTACAATAACATTGAGAATATGAACATAAACTCATCTAACTTTGCTAATTAATATATTAGTATGTAGATTATCTTAAAATATAACAGCATTTTCTAAGAAAAATTCGTCGAAGCAAGTATCCTTCCTATTTATCAATATCCTATTTATCAATCAATTTTTTTAATTTCATACAGAAATAATTTTTTCCTTATTCAAGTAATCATCGGATAGATATTTCAACAAAGATTCGCAGAAAATCTGACCGCTCTCATCATCGATATGCTGCTTAATTTAGCATTCATTATCGTTCTTGATATAAACTGCAGAAGAAACTTTTACTTGTTAACGACAATCTCTCTGTGTGTCAAACGATTATAAATCCTGCGGTATTTCACAGCGGTATTCTTCCTTCGATGAAAAATCGCCGCCGGACAAATATTCCGACAAATATTCGCCATACCTCTTCATTATGACGATCAAGTCATTCATCTTCGATGCGGCTCGAATTCGTGGGGACACGAAGGTAAGACGGTAGAAAACCTAAGTGGTCCCATCGCCGATGCAGATCCACATTCAGTCTGCATTCTCGAGGCTCCTGGCGCCATGTCACAGTACGCGCATTTGGTATCCCGCGACTCTCGGTAGCATCTGGTCGATACAAAATACACCAGGTACACGGGGTACGCGTTCGTTCCGCCCGGTTCTTTCCCTCCTTGGTTCGCGATCTTCAAGCATTGTCAGCAACGACGACGAGTCTTCTTCTACGGTACACCCCTCTGAGTACCTCGCGCAAAAAGGATGTCCTTACCGCGCAATTATTTTCGCATGATTCCGATCGCCGGTCAGATTAAGACCGCCCTTTCGGCACCGCGTGCCGATCGCGACCGCTCGTTTGCGAACTGTCCGCGATGATACGAGTGCGATTTAAGTTGCGAGCAAAACCAAATTCCGAGGGAGCGAACGTGCGACTATGCTCTCCGCGGCGGCGGTCATTTCTTTGCTTCACAAGGAATTTGCGCGAAGCTATCTAATAAAGCCTTGGGCTCTTTTCTATAGAGTCGTTTTTACGTGTCAAGGAGACTTTACTTGTTCGGTTAATTTCTATATAACATTCTTCGCGATATTTATGATTATGTCATAATCATTGATAGATAGTTGTTATAGAAAGAATTATGTTCAATGAGACAATGCTTCTTCAAAGTATCTTGATTTTTTATTATAGGTATCAATTCAAATAATACTTGTGGAAATAAAATAAATAATAAAAGAGAGGTATGTCTAAAAAAAACACAAATTCTTTCTCTTGATTAATTGATATTGAAAATTATTTAAAAATATCTTAAATTATTTTAAATGTTTTATTTTGCGCTATCCAGATTTCTCACTGCAATTATTTTTAGTAGAGAAAATATAAAATAAGGACATACAAATTTTGTATATATTTAATAGAAAAATCTATATTTTAATTAAATATAAATTTTAAAATATTGTAAAAATTGTATTTTATTATTTAAATTTTAGCTTTTGAGATTTAAATGAAATTATATGAACATACCTATCTTGAATTTACTTTTACTAGCGCCCATAAAAAATTACATAATAAAAATAATATTCTATAATGATAAACGTTAACTTTTCCTTCTCATGGTCTTGATAGTCTTGATAGAAATTTAGCGCTCTCTTAAGAGATGAATTCTAAATTAATTTTGTTGACATATGAAAGTAGCTCTCATGTATAAAGTTTACATAAATGTCTTTCAATGTTAATATTAATTCTTGGTGTATATACAGTTAAATGATCATTTTTGTTAAAAACTATGAGCAATTTTATGGTTTAATGCCTTACTATGTTCTGTTGTTCTGTAAGCCACAAACGTTTGCCATAACTTACACACAAAGTACACACACCAAGTCTTTAAAGTCTAAATGTATGCGTTGGTTATTTAAACACAGTCAACTCCAGATCGTAATTGCACAACGAAATCACGGCGGCGTGTGTACTGCATTTTATAGAGGTGGTTCGCCCACCAATATGACACGCTTCGTACTTAGAATACTATATCTATAGGTCGCGGGAATACTCTTGACAGTGTGGGTGGTATCTACAAACTATCGTAATCGGAAATGAATTACGCGAGGTTTCTTTTTATGTACGCGGAAGATCTGCATCTAATCTTAATATTTGACTTTAATCTGAACCATTATTTGAATTGCACAATAAACTTAATGTGTTAAACTATATACGTATATAGTTGTGGAAGATGTTATTATATATAATTTATAATACTCATTGATGAACAAATACCGTTAGATCGTCATTCATAGCTTCAGTATTAATTTTAATATGGAACTGATTTACGCAATAACAAATTATAGTGGCCATTAAAAGCAAATGTATTAAGCTAAAGGATAATAAATACATTATCATTATATTAGACTAAGGGAAATAAATAAAATAAAAACATATTTATATTACTGTCACTATTGTTATGATTATTTCTCTAGATTTATTTATAATTGTAAGAAACCAAGAGAGAGATGAGAGTCTAAATAATGGCAATCTCTTTAATAGCGCTCTATATATAGCTCAACTTTTTTAGAAATGTAACTTATGTTAATTGCTTTGTTTATAGTTTGCATCGGTACAAATGGCCGCCTTTCCGTGCCGTCCAACAAACAACATCATTACCGGAATCTTCGAGACCGGTACACCAACTGTACTTACGTCGATGGCAACCTGGAGATCACATGGCTCCAGAACAAAACCTTCGACCTCAGCTTCCTCCAGTACATACGGGAGGTCACCGGTTACGTCCTCATCAGTCACGTGGACGTGCGCAGGATCGTCCTCCCGAGCCTACAGATCATCCGTGGCAGGACCCTTTTCAAGCTCAATATTCACGACCACGAGTTCGCCCTCTTCGTTACAATGTGTCAAATGCACAACCTGGAGATGCCGTCCCTTAGAGGTACGTTATTTATCTTATATTTTATTCGACATATATGTTAACTAGAATAAAATTGAAGCGGTGAAATGATGTATCTCTAAGATACCTTGGAATATTTATTTAATTATTGTCCATAAATGGAACCAACAATTTATGCTTAATTTGTCGCGAGATAGAATAATATTTAAACGAGAAATTTAAGAAATTTAAACTATCGTTTCGTTTGTGACGATATTTAACTTGATCGCTATTGATTTCATCATAGATATACTCAACGGGAGCGTGGGCATGTACAACAACTACAATCTCTGCCACATCAAAACTATCAATTGGGAGGAAATAATCACAGGCCAAGGAGGACGATATTTTTACGTGTACAATTTTACATCGCCGGAACGCTCCTGTCCAGCATGCGACGAGAGCTGCGAACAGGGCTGCTGGGGCGAAGGTTCGGAGAACTGTCAAAAGTTCTCGAAGACGAACTGTTCGCCTCAGTGCTGGCAGGGCAGGTGCTTCGGTCCTAATCCGCGCGAATGTTGCCATCTTTTTTGCGCGGGTGGTTGTACCGGTCCCAAACAGAGCGATTGTCTTGCCTGTAAGAATTTTTTCGACGACGGCGTATGCACACAAGAATGTCCGCCTATGCAAAAGTAAGTCACGTCATATGTTCATATCTTTGCCACAAGATTAATGTAAAATGCTCGTGCAAAAGATATTACAATACATATATCTAGATGCTAAATACTATAATTTTTGTTTAATACAATTAGACGCGCGAACGAATAATGCTGTCCTAAATTCTTTCAAGTAATGAATTAATGTGAGAAAAAACACTGATATAAAGTTAACTTATAGTGCAGATTATTTACATGATAAAATTAATAAGAAAATGTTATTAATATCTCAACGTCAATTCTTTTAGATACAATCCAACAACATATTCATGGGAAGCCAATCCTGACGGGAAATACGCGTATGGAGCGACCTGCGTGAGACGATGTCCGGAACATCTCTTAAAGGACAATGGTGCATGCGTGAGATCCTGTCCGCCGAAGAAGAAAGCGGTGAATGGCGAGTGCGTTCCTTGCGACGGTCCTTGCCCGAAAACCTGCAAGGGCGTCGAGAAGGTGCATTCCGGTAACATCGACACCTTCAAGGATTGCACCATTATCGAAGGATCCATCACGATTTTGGACCAGAGCTTCGAGGGTTTTCAACACGTTTATCCAAATTATACATTCGGCAAACGATACGAAAAGATGCATCCCGATAAATTAGAAGTCTTCAAAACGTTGAAGGAAATTACGGGCTATCTTAATATTCAAGGAGATCACAAAGATTTCACGAACCTTTCGTACTTTCGAAACCTCGAGGTGATCGGCGGCAGAACGCTCACGGAATATTTCGCGTCGTTATACATCGTCAAGACCTCTCTGGTATCCTTCGGTCTTAGTTCTTTGAAGAAGATTTATTCTGGCTCGATTGCCATTTTGGAGAACAAAAACTTGTGTTACGCACAAAGCATTAATTGGAACAGAATCAAGAAATCATCGGAACATGAAAGCCTTTTGTCAAATAATCGAAATGAGAGCGAATGCAGTAAGTATAATAAATAGATTTAAATATAAATAACCATTGTTTTCTTATTTAAAAATCAATTTTTTTTTACGGATATTCTGAATGTTTTATTTTGTGTTGGATGGCATATTCGTTAAGAGCTTCTATTTTTATTTTGTGAAGACTAAATTAGAGATGTAATTAATATTGTATTATTAATATTTAAACAGCATTTATTCATTTTTATATAAATAAGTTTTAAAGTTTCTATATGAAATTATATGGAATATTATGTTTGAATTACAGTTAAGGATGGCCTCATATGCGACGAGCAATGTTCGAACGAAGGATGTTGGGGACCGGGACCAGCACAATGTTTGTCGTGCAAGAACTTCATTCTAGGAAATGACTGTCTCCGAGATTGCACTGCGCCAGGGTAAGTCGACAAGCGTAGAATTACATAATGCGAAATTGAAAATTCCAATAATGCGACTTCTGTCCAATTGAACGTGCTCTCCTAGATCATGGATTGAAGGTAAATCGAAAAACTTCCGCGAGAACTTAAGCCTCAATTTTCACCGTTCTATTTTTCATCTTTATCCATCTCGTAAGCAAGTTACGTGTATATATTATGCAGCACTTGCACTTTGATCGTAACCGCTTTAATTCGCGCTTGTATTAAAAGAGCAAGTGGCATGAGTGACAAACAATCTGAACATTAATTACGTTTAAATGATTTTTCACGTGTGCCATCTTATTTTTTTATCTCTGTTAATTTTTTATGCCTTATTCACTTACCCTTATTTTTTTCGTTTGCTTTTGATTTTGCGTATCACTTCTTTACATGACGTTTCGATGTCGCTTAACAATTGATCACGATTGTGTTGTTAGAATTTATCAAGCGGACGAGAAAACATGTAAGATGTGTCACGAAGAATGCGACAGCTCCTGCACCGGTCCTTATGCCGACCAATGTATCAAGTGCAAACACGTGCAAGACGGACCGTTCTGTGTGCCCGAGTGCCCATCCTCCAAGTACAATGACAACGGCCAATGTAAACACTGCCACGAGAACTGCGTAGGCGGTTGCGAGGGACCGGAGAACAACATAGGCGCCAACGGATGTCATAGTTGCGAAAAGGCAATTATGAACGGCCAAGTAACAGAGGGATGTTTGCAGAAGAAAGAGCCCTGTCCCGATGGTAAGTCATACGATAGCTTTGCTTCATGACTTTTGTATGAATGTACAAAATATTCATATCTTATATAATGGAGAAAATGTTGATATTTTTGATATTTTTACTAATTATTGGCTAATAATTATATGATATATGAAAGAAGTGCATTATTACGTTATTTTTATTAATTTTACAAATGTTTAAAAATAATAGTGAATATTACTGTCACAGAGTATAATTGAAAATAATAAATATAACTAAATAAATTGATTACAGTTTATTTTGAATAAATAATAAGATGATATTTATGTAATTCTCCTCGTGAACAGTGCTTAAATAAATAAATATTATTTAATGTTACATAAAAAGGATCCTCTTTATGAAATTCGCAGGACATTATTACGAGTGGATGAATCCGATGGAGCAAGGTCCTTTAAAACCTCTCGCCGGAAAAGCTGTCTGTCGCAAATGCCACCCACGTTGCAAGAAGTGCACAGGATACGGCTTCCATGAGCAAGTGTGTCAACAATGCACCAAGTATAAGAGAGGAGAACAATGCGAGGATGAATGTCCTGCTGATCACTTTGCGGATGCTGACACGCAGCTATGTATACCGTGCTTCGGAGAGTGCCGAGGGTGCTTTGGACCGGACCCTAATCAATGCTACAAATGTCGGAATTATAAAATTTATTTTGTACGTAGACATTAATATAAGACATATAGTCTTTATTACGCATTTAATAAATAAGACAATACAACATTTTTCTAAAAAAAAAAAGTGGAAGCATATCTTTCAGTTTATTATATTGGTATTAAAGTATATATATAATGAGTATCTATATTTGTAATTTTAATTTTTAGTAAAATATACTTTGTATAAAATCTTTATATTTTGTATGAAACGATTACGTGTTACAATACTAATTAATTTATATAATTTGTGTATTTAGGATAGGACAGGCGATCCTGACGACAATTCAACATCCTTTAACTGCACGGAAACTTGTCCACCGGAATATCCTCACAAGATCTTTCCTCCTGACAGTGAGCCGTATTGTTCCGTAGAAACAATAGGTCTCGGTTATCAGATGGAAAACGATTTTCATCCGGCAGTTTTGGGTGGCGTCGCGGTCGTATTAGTGGTATTTATTATTATCATTGTTGTGTTATTGTACTTTTGGCGAGTAAGAACAAAAGCTAAGGAGAATACAGTGAAGATGACGATGGCTTTGACCGGTTTGGACGATAACGAACCGCTTCGACCGACGGGTGTAAAACCAAATCTTGCGAAACTACGAATCATCAAGGAAGAAGAGATGAGAAAGGGCGGTATATTGGGTTACGGTGCTTTCGGTAACGTGTACAAAGGCGTTTGGGTGCCCGAGGGAGAGAACGTAAAGATCCCAGTCGCTATAAAGGTCCTCCACGACGGTACCGGTGCAAACACGTCCAAAGAATTTCTCGACGAAGCTTATATTATGGCTAGCGTCGAGCATCCGAATCTGCTGCAATTACTCGCGGTATGCATGACGTCGCAGATGATGTTGGTGACCCAACTAATGCCTCTAGGCTGTCTACTGGACTTCGTACGTTTGTATAAGGATAAAATTGGTTCGAAGCCGCTGCTAAATTGGTGCACACAGATCGCGAGAGGTATGGCCTACCTAGAAGACAGAAGATTGGTTCATCGTGATTTGGCAGCGCGAAATGTCCTTGTCCAAACTCCGAATTGCGTGAAGATCACTGATTTTGGTCTCGCTAAATTATTGGACATTAACGAGGAGCAGTATAAAGCCGCGGGTGGGAAGATGCCGATTAAGTGGTTGGCATTAGAATGCATTCAGCATCGAGTGTTTAATCATAAATCGGATGTGTGGGCCTTTGGAGTGACTATTTGGGAGATTCTCACCTACGGTGGTAGACCGTACGAGAATGTCTCTGCTCGAAATGTGCCGGAATTACTGGAAAAGGGCGAAAGATTACCGCAACCCGCGATTTGTACGATTGATGTATATATGATCATGATTAAGTGTTGGATGCTTGACGCCGAATCCAGACCTAGCTTCAAAGAACTGGCAGAGGATTTCGCGAAAATGTCCAGAGATCCTGGACGATATCTTGCCATTAAAGGGGATAAGTACATGAGACTGCCGTCGTATACATTACAGGTAATTTATATTTTCTTATATACAAATTTGTTTTTTTTATTACTGTAGATAATAATTAAAACAGTTATAATGAATTCTATTGGCTTAATAACTGCGTTATAATCAGGTCATTATTGCTTCAAACTATTCGTATCAATTTCTGTATTTAACAATTTAAACTAATAAAGATATATTTATAACACTAAGTCTTAATAATAATAGTCTTAATAATGATTTCGACTTTAATATGGATTTTCAGGACGAAAAAGAGATGATACGAAATCTCGCATCAGCGATAGATGGTCCTGAAGCTCTTGTGGATGCTGACGAGTATTTGCAACCTAAGTCGCGGGCTCCACTTCCGCCCGCAATTTCCGCATCAAGTACTTCCGGTTCACCGCCGAATACGCCGGTGAAGTCGTGCTGGCCGAACGGGAAGCCGCTCGCCGCTGATTCTCCAACGCCTCAGAATCAACAAAATTGGGACAGAGAGCTTTTGAGATACGGCGGAAATCACGGGAGCGGAAATGCGTCGCACGAGGCTGGCAATTCCGGTCAGCATACGCATTACGCGCATCCCAATGGTCATTGCGGACACGTCGCAGGGTCAAATAGCTCGAGTTCGAGATACTGTTCAGATCCATTGAAGATGGTTGGTGTTAGAGGTAAGTAAACGCAAATGTCAATTGCTAAAAAGATCAAATAGTATGTCTCTGATTGGAGTAATATAATTGATATTGAAATAATACACGAGCATCTTGGGATGAATTTATTTGATGAAGCAACGTGGAAATTTCAGATTGCGATGTGACGGATGATTGTTTCGACACGAAAGTGAACATCGTGCATCAGCAAGCTCAAGTAGGGAACCTGAAGTTGGATTTGCCATTGGATGAGGATGACTATCTCATGCCGTCGCCACAACTGCCAGTCAATACGACACAATATATGGATCTCATTGGGGAATCTAAGCCAACAGGTAAGCGAAAGCGAAATTTGCTACTATTTTTAGAAACTATATCTATATTGTGTAGATAATAGATACATAGCAACCCTGGTGGAAAAATGTCTCGGAATTGTTTACATTATTAATCAGAATTTCTATAAAAATTTTCAGACTTTTTCAGAATGTGCCCAAAATTTTTCAAATTTTTTATACGAATTGGAACGTTTTTCAGAAAATAATAATAAAATATTTTAGATTTTTCCCGCCAACACATCTTTATAAAAATCTGAATAAATATGAGAAAATCTATGCAATTTATTAGAAATTTTCATACATACAGATACTGAAATATTCCAAAAATCTTTAATTATTTCTAAAAGTATCTGAGAAATATATATATTGTTTAGAATTTTAAAAGTCTCAATTTTTAAAAACTTTCTGAGAAAATATGAGAAATTTTTTCACCAGGGAATTCTATTTATACTGGAAATAAATACACTAAACTTTGCTCTTAAAAGTTTTTTTACTGTGTTTATTTGTATTTTTATGTATACATAATTTTGGATAACAATTGCTTTATTCATTTCATCGTTGCTCCTTGGTTGATATTATTTATTTATTTATTTTATTATTTATTAAATATATATGCTCTTTATAAAACAGAAATTATTTTTATTTTATCTAGAACCCGAATCAAAGCGATTAAACAATGGCTTCCGGAAATATCCAGACTTCCTAACAATTCAAGGGAAGACATCACTGGACAATCCGGAATATATAATGTCGCAAGACGATGGTCCACTCACGCCACAGACTTTGGGTATCCCTACGCCAGACTTGGACAAGGTTCTGCAAAATGGCGCCTTCGGGTCTCAGATTAGGCAACGAAGTTCCGAAGAAGAATCGGATCACGAATATTACAACGACTTTGATCGGTTAGAACGAGAATTACAGCCATTGAAGCCTTTTAGGAAGAACGAAACGACCGTGTGATTCTAATGTCGAGGATGCGAATAGATTTGAAGATTCTGTGGGACCAGGAATGTTCACATCGATGAAACTTTTTCTGGGACAGAAGATGAGTTGTGGAAGGAGATAGAGAACCATTGGAATGCTTCGTCAAAGAATCTAACCGCATCATATAGTTACTCAATTTTCGAGTACAGGACCCATTGTACTTATAAAGGACACTTCGTTCAAGTGCCGCGTTTGATTGTGATTAGAAGTAAACTAGAGACTCATGCATATTTCGGGATATAAATAAAATGAAGGAGACTATAATGACATACCGGAAATGAGAATCGCGCGACAGCGATACTCGTGAACAAGTAGTGCAAAGATATTCTTAATGTGCCATTTCTCGTGGCTTGTAAATAAATTACTTTTCGTACTAGCTTCTCGAGGATATAAGAAATATCCTAGGACTTAATTCGCAACGACAGCATCGATATCGTCTTTGCTATTCTATTAAGAATTTCTTCAGGGCTGTATTATGGCATTTTGAGCCATACCATTGCAAAACGAAATTTATAATCCTTATACCTATAAAATGATTGAAGATGTAGAAAAACACGTGTAAATGGCTTTATATTAATTTCTTTGACTAAATCGATTCTACATTTGTCTTTGCAAACTTTATAGGCTTAAACCGATTTTACTTCATTATCCAATTCTCTTGCAAAGATATCTGTGCACCCTGAAAGCTAATATTTACAATGACTTTATCCATCTTTCAACAAAAATGATTAAAAATGCGGTTCAATATGTTTTCACGTAATATGTTTTAAAGTTTATAATTGAAAGATTATACAACAAACGTAAAGTATTAAAAATTAAAGTTGTTTACATCGACCATTTGCGGCCTTCAAAGAAATTCATGATCGTTGGTAAAAATTTAATGATGAGAACGGTTTTAGACATTTTCGAGCGGAATACTTGTAATATATCAGGAAATCGCTCAATACGTTTTATACATACGAATTGTTTTGACACTTTTTGTTTTATTTCCTTATATACAGTACATTAATGATATTTTACGTCATTAAGTGACAAACTTCTTATGTTCTTTTGTAACAAATGTAAATTTAAATATTTTGTTAACTAAAAATATTTTTTATATTGACAAAAGGTTTAATTTCAAATTTAGAATGTAATGATTTATAATTTATATGTATGGCAATAATATCATTTTAATTTTATTGATGTTTAATTTGAACTCCTGTTCAAAGTTAATGTTTTTAAAGATATTTTAGTATTTATAAAGTGTTCCGCTTAGAATGATGAAAGTTAAGCGGTCCCGCTACAAAGGCCAACTTGCAACAACGTCCTTATAAATCTAATTAATAATAGTCTTTGGTTTTTTTTTAATCTGCTTTATAAATTATGGAAGAAATAATTTATAAAGTATTGTGTCCTTTTCGAAATATAGAAGAGGACAAAGAAAAATCAGTTATATGTCGCTCAAACTGTTAGACGTTAGGGCAACTGGGTCATAATATTTGTACGGTACACCGCTGACTGTGATATGAATTATTTTATTTTATTTTGAGGACACTCAAATACCGCAATAATTAGTACCTTCCCTTTCCCCGCAGTAAATTACGACAGCAAAGTTACATTGTCCTATTTTACTGCCGAAGATGTATTCGTTTCGCGTTGAGATACGAATCGATCACGACGCAGACGAACGCGACTTTACTTAAAAATGGAGGAACAAAGTGACTCGAAGACATTTCTTTCCTTCCTCTTATGCCATCGTCTTTGTATCAGTAAAATTGGCTCTGGGATGGGAATTATCAGTTCAATTTTTATATACGAAACACAATTTGTACATAGTTTAGCGAGTAGGATAGTAAACGGAAACCTCCACAGGCGTAAGAAACGGAGAGCAGTCGAACGAAATTAATGATCGTATGTCGTCAGAATACGGCGACCCGTATGTAATCGCACTAAGTAACAAAGTATAATAGGACGTGCCATGTACAGAAAAAAGGAAGAAAATAGACGAAAGAGCAAATTTTATGATGAAAAACGGATCTTGATTGTATTTAATAAATTTACGGGAACTCTGTTCTACGAGCCTTGCATTTGCTATAGATGAGCAGGGACGTGCGCGAGATTGGCGATCTCTTTTGAAAGTAATATCCATACTTCATAGTTAATACAACCACTGTCATTTTGTGACTTGGACAAAAATATGACGATGATATTACATTATTATAATTATATAATTTTTAGTTAGCCACATGATGACACTGGTAGCTTTAATTTTCTAATTTTGATATTTTTTCATAGTATTATGAAGCAATTAAATCAAGTAATTCCAAATATAAAAAGGAAAAAATATATATTTAGATTCAAAACATTAACTTCTCAATTTTTTAATCATTTAATGACAATTATATTATTTATGTTGTCAATACTTTTTATATATGAGTAATAAATATCATTTTCAAATATAGAAAAGGAAAAAATACACTGTTGGAAAATTTTTGTAGGTTTGTTAAAAAAGGTCCTTGTTAAAATCTTTGTGTAAAATAATCAACACATACATGTGTAGATTTAACATATGCCTGCTATGTTACGTGAACTGAACAAATTAAAAATGTAAACGTATTAAAATAATATAAAAAATGTGTCAAGTAACACACGTTGAACGTATTTATTAAATGTGTTTTAATTTACAGAAAAAGAGTGTTGATTTTTTACTTTATAACAAAAGTGGGAATAACACGTTACAGAAAAAGAGAGATGATTTTATCTTACAATCTTAACTTTAACAAGTTATGTTAATTGTACACATGATTAACGTCAAATTACGATCAGAATTACATTTCTTTCCTGTTGAAATATTTTAACATAGTATCGGTGTTACCATTTAACACATCCATATTATGTTAAATTAACACAAAAATTTGAGTGGACCGTTTTGGACATGCGATTTATGTTATATTTAACACAAATTTTCCAACAGTGTATACATTTAAACATAAAATATTTGTTTTTCTGACATTGGAAACATAAAATGATGATATTGATCATGAAATAAAACACAATGCATTTGCAAGAAATGCTCGCGAGAAATAAAATAATCCGTACAGATTTTCAATCTCGCTGCATACCGTGCAGTATCTTACACGTAATAATGTAGTCAATATACGTATCGTGTACATTGTGTTAAGTGTTACTAATTATTATTATTGTAACAGATTCTCTCTTTGTAATATATCATTCACCGCGACGCATTACTCGCTGCACGAAGAAAGACACGTGATTTTTCTTGAGCGGACCAAGAAAATGTCTTTCCATTTTTCTCATTGTCGTACGTTTGGTCTTAAATATGTAAATTGGACTGCGACTGAGCGTGTTAATTAGAAATTGTACAGTGTAATCGAACGTTATGTAATTCGCGAGAAGTTGCATTTGCCATTCGGTTGTGGACATAGAACTTATAGATCTTTATTGTATCATTATATATCATAAAAATTTATTGTAATAAAGAACGATCATTCTTATCATTTGTCGTTTTTCTATTAAACCTGAATAATTTAGCGATGTGCAAATTACGAATATTTTTCGGCAATATTTTTCCGAATGCATGTTTATTATGCATTTTCTCAATGTGCATATATACATAAGGAAAATTTATGTACCTACACAAAAAAGATTATGTATTTATACTCATATACATGGAAAAAAAGGATTAACTACTTTAACAAATCTAGTCATAAAATATAGATAACTAACATTTTTTTGCAGCAAGAGCTATAATTTGGCAATAATAGCAAAACCTTTTGTGTTAAAGTTTTACTACTATTATTCAATAACAGGGCTGGCGAACAAGCTAGGTGTTTTTACTAAATTATTATATTCTAATAAACAATACAGACGTTTCGGCCTTAAATATGGCCTTCATCAGTGTAAAAAAACCATGGTCGTTGAAATTTAAAAAGTCGTTACATCGAGTATTAATTTTTTTTACTACTATTGCTATATATATATATATATATATATATATATATATATCATTTAGCAATATATATATTATAGTAGCTATCCTTTTTTTCCGTGTACCTATAATACTTTTCTTATTAAACTCTAAAAATTTTATGCATAAATATTATTCTTACAAAAGATACAATCTGCATGCCAAATAATGTCTAAAATACTAATTATAATATTAATTCTTTGCTTTATCAAATATCTTTGCTATATTTATTCCGTCTTTTGTTCAATTCTTGTGCATCTCATATTACCTTTAAAAAAGTAGATAAAAAATGTCAAATTTTTTATTTACTTTTTTAAAGAAGGCAAATTTTGAGTATGACATACCTTTTATAAATTGTATAAAACGTTCAGCCAGAGTAGTCGCCGCGTATACAACACGACGAAATAATAATTTTCAAACATTTTAAACGAACGCTCGCATATGGAGCATATGACGCGTTTTAACTAATCAGAGAAGTTTGGAGAATCAGCTGATTTCATTCATGAATCACATATGCAAATACACGTCTTAATGTAAAATACGTTACATGTGTATAGTTATTACATATTTTATACAATAATATAAATATTTAATATATAATTGAATATATAATTATTAATATTATAATATAATATATATGATTATACTATATACATATTTTTTATAGTAATATATTTTACATCCGTTTTACTCGTAAAATATAAAATAATTATTACTTATGTTATAATAATAGAATGTTATTCGTTGATGGATTGACGATAAATCGTGAAATAGTTTTTGTTCCAACAAATGAGCCCCGAGTATTAAATATATTTTATTCGATATAGATTAGTTATTAATTCCGCGGTTTTATCTGATAATACACAATTGCGATTAAATGCATTTTTGGACTTTGCATTGAATTCGCGTCCAAGTAAATTCGGGCGTTTTTTAATATTTTGTACGAATAAGGCAAATCAGGAATGGTACAGAAATATCAAAGTACAATACACTTGCTTGTAAAAATTTCCAGTTTTATTTACATATAAATTCCAACACAACCCTTCATTAAAAGTGCCATAAAATCTAAAAATATTTAGAGATCATCACAATCATGCAATAATCACCGTAAAACGTAATATCTTAAAAAATAACGGAACAATGATCAGTTTTTCTCAAATATATAGTGTACGCGGTTTGTACGTAAAAAGACACCATTGACAACTTTTATATATCTATACTCTCATAAAATAGTATTAGTAGGTAAACCAATTACTCTAGAATGAAATATCGATTAAAAAGAGTGTAGAAATATTTTTGGCAAAGATCTTTCTATCTACTTTCTATCAAAATTACAATTGCAATATAGTAGTAGTACGTGTCCAGGCATTGGTGCATTTACCTTAATTTTTTTAACTTGGTTCTGTTTCTAAGACATTATTCTCGAAAGCTCGTTTGACATAAGAAATCTGGAAAGGTAGCGCTTCGATGTTTATGCGGTGATATATTCACATGGAGAGTCTTTATGTATACTTGGCATAATGATAATGTCCTGTCGCTTGATAAATATAAGAGAACAATAATATAGCAATAAAAAATACAATATATGTTAATAGACATATATTATTATTTATTAAATGACTAAATAATAATAAAAAAAAGAAAAATTTATTTATAATGAAACGCATACTCCCTCGTCTTCGCCAACCTTCGATTAGCAGCAGTCGGGAGTAAAAATGTTGTTTATAAAATACATTTACCTTTATAATCTTCTTCACTATTGTATGTGTGAACATCTAATATATGATAATCTTATCTTATCTATTAAATTGTACTAATATCTATATATTTGAAATAAGCCAGGAGTAATATTTCTAATTCCCTTAAGAGAGCAATTATTTTATCGTGGCTCAATAATCAAGCGTATGCCACCTTTTGCCGAAAGAATAAGATTACGTTCGTCAAAAATAGGCGGGACTAAAGTCTGGGGATGAAGATTGAATTTATATTTCGATAAAAGACTCACGAGTCCGACTTTCGTCTGTACATAGCCAAATTGCGCACCTGAAAAGTAATGATATCAATATTTTCATCAATGCCATGATACATGCCAGATATTTTCGTACGAGCTCAATCTAAGCTTTAAAAAGTTTTATTTAAGTATAATTATAAGAATATTTAAAAAATAATTTTTTTTATAGAAAAATTTAAAACAATATAAAATGTATTCAAGACAAAAAAATTAATAACCTGTTAATTAAATATTTTTATAAATATTTTCGCAGAAAAGAAAGAGAGAAATATATATTTAATATAAGCAGAATATATTTTTAAAATATAATTAAAGAAGATGATTTAAAATGCAACGATTGAAACACATGTTGTTGTCAATTGTCAATTTAAGTGTAATTATTTTTATGAAAAATAAGCTTGCAAATGGTACATAAACTAGTTTATAAACAAAAATAATTCATAAACAATGAATTAATGTATAAATTAAATATATATTAATAGATTAATTCGTATTCTTACCGATGCAGATTCGGGGACCTTGCCCGAATGGTAAGAAAGCATAAGTATGCCTTTCTGCTGCCACGTCTGCGTTAAATCGTTCCGGATCAAATTTATCTGGGTCTGGATATATCAACGGATCTCGGTGCAGCCCGAGCACTGGTATAGTGATTAAAGTCCCCTTTGGCACATGAATGTTCATTGTCGGTAAGTTTATATCTTCGGTACAGGTACGATTTAACATTGGTAGAGGTGGATATTTCCTCATAGTCTCTGGAATATGTCAAAGAAATATATGTATAAATATATGTATATATCTCTTCTAAAATGCAAACTATTTATTTGAATGTATTATACATATTTATTTTTAAATATAAAAGTCCCCTATTATGAGATAAAGCTCCTAATATACGATAGCGGGATTTCTGCTAATAGGTTCTATCTGTTGGTTCTATCATGAACTTTTATTGCCCTTGGGGTAAAATCTATTTAGTAGAAATGACCTACTACATTTTTCAATTCTGCCCATAGACTTCCGATAATCACACAAAATAGATGTGGTATCTCATAATAAGGGACTTTCCTCTACTATTTATTTAAATGTACATATGAATAATAAGATATTTTCGTGTAATATAATCTTTCTTTGTCGAAAATTGCATCTCCAAAACCGACAAAGTAAAAACACAATGCGACAATTTACAATATACTTGCCATTTACTACTTTGTGAAGATACGTCATTTCGTTCAAGGCGTCGTAGGTGAGACCACCATGTTTTGCCAACATCTCGTCGATTTCCTTGCAAACTTTGTCTTGCATATCATGATGTTGAGCTAATTCATATAAAGCAAATGTTCCTGTCGTCGAGGAGGTTTCGTAGCCAGCTATGAAGAAAATATAACTCTGCGCTGTTGCTTCCTCCATAGTAAGTTTATTTATAGATGCTGCGGATAAGTAAAGTAAAATAATTTGTTTTTAACAAGAAATCTTAAATATTTGATTTTAATTTGCATTCGAGACAAAATTGCATTTCAAGACAATAAATGTAAATTTTCAAGATACATAGGGAAGATATTAATATACACGTATAATATGTAGACATAAATATATATTTACATGTCGTCTGGGTGGTAGTGGTATTCGTGCTATTTTCAGGCTCAACATAGCCTTTCTCTATGAGTTGAATCAGCAGATCCATAAAATCGTGTCTGATGATGTTATGAGCTTGCCTGTATTCCACATTCTCTCGAAACAAATTCATGAAAAAGCTGGTGACGGATTGGGGTGTGATAGGGATGGAAAACAATTCCATAATGTTCGGCGTGAACCAAAATAGGGCGATCCAAATCGTATTCATCTCAAAAATTTTCTTTTCTTGTTTACGATATTCGTTATTCGGATCCTCAATACAATTGGATTTGATACCAAATGCAGTTGACATAATTACGTCCGTTGTATATCTATTGGTAAAATTGACAAGAATTTTTAATATATTTTAGCAAATTCTATATCAAATTTGGAAACATTGAAGATGTTAAAAATGTACGAATAAATTCATACGCGCGAATAAGGTTGATAAATTAAGCGAATTCGGATAAACGATATCGAAAATGTAGATATATACATAAAAGAATGTCCAAAAATGGCATTTTAATACTTGGAAGAATCTCCGTCATATACGTCATCTTTCTATAATATTTTAAAGAAAAACTTGTAAAATTATTTTTGAAAAATTTTAAATAATTTTAATTATAAATTATAAATTATATATACAATTATATTTACAAATGACGTAAATCAATACGTTGTCCGCTTTGGTACTTGAATAATTTGGATATATATTATTGAAATATATAGATATATATTTCAATATGAAAAGAATATATAATCTTCAAATAAGAGTGTTAACAATGTTGCTAGTTTTAAACGTTTCTTATATTTAAATGTTGAAACGTAATCATCATTATTAATCAAAGTCGGACGAGTTTTATCAATAATATCTCAGGTGCAATTATGCACATTATGATTACACTACAGACGATGACTATATTAAAGCATGTTGTCTTCTGTATATTCTTGTATTACATTAATGTATTTAGAAATAGATATTAGAAAGTGTTTCTTAGGCATGCCGTAAGTTTCAAAAGTGCTGTATGTAAAACTTACTTTCATTCATCCGTGGAAAATGTTCTATTTTGTGAATTAACATACTTTTGACTAATAATTTTTTTTTATACTTTGTTAATCATGCAATAATAAATATCAAATCAATTAGAACATTTTATTATAGAAAAATTATCTGTTCTAAGACAAACTGTTTATCCTTTTCTTTTCCCCAATACTTCACTAATTATTTTTATTTTTAAATTAAACATTTTCTATTCCTAGTCATTCAAACAACATTATTTATATAATAGTTTGTTTAAAAAAATTACCTCGCAAATATATCTTTCATCTCGATGGAATCTCTCATTTGTACTTTGCTGTCCAGATAATTTGCGAGTTCATCGCCACATTCCTTCACGATCGGGAACATTTGCTTTATTTTTCCTAAAGTGAAAGTTGGTGTCATCTTGGTACGCAGATTTCGCCATTTCTTTCCAGCCATTGAAAACAAATGACCGGACAATGGATCAATTTTTTCATTGCAGAACGTTCCACGATCATGAAAACTTGCGAAGTTCTTTGTTAACACCGTTTTAATTAGATCGAGATCGGCGACTACCAAGTTTGGTTTATGAAGTGAATACATTCCAATAGCGCGATGATCCTTATATTTCATGTAGATATCATGGAAGAATACGCCTGTTGACAAATTTTTGTTAATTAATTCTGCGACTTTTTTTCAAGTAGAAATACAATAAACAACAGTGCAAATCATTTATTTTATAAAAATAGTAATGGCTTTGTAATAATAAAACTTCCATAATAATAAAACTTCCTTTCTTTATTTAGTTGGAGTAAAACTGTAAATATATACATATAGTACCAAATTTTATAAAATATATAACACCGAAATTATAATCGAACCAATAAATTATTTTCAGTTTACGGTCTTTTTCGATTCTCTTTCCGGTTCTTAAGGGGGGAAACGGGGAAATCACAGTGACAGCCGGAAAAAAATGCTGATTTCATGAATTTTTTTCGCTAGAAAAAAATAAATTTAATGAAATTGATTCTTTATTCGGTTTACGCGCCGGCGTTCAGAAGTTCGATCAAGAGCAGGATTCCCCTACTTGCTTCATGCCTGCATAAAGGCATGTTTGTGTAAAATTTGCTTCAATAAGCAAAATAATGTAAACATAACAAAATTTATTCTCTATATCAGAGTTTATTAACACATTTTAGCAGTGTTCTTTTTTGCTTCAAAGCCAGTTTTACGATTTCAATGCATTGTCTTTCTCATTTGCGGAATATGCAGACATGCACCTCATTTATGGATGCTTTATTTGAGAAATTATTCAAACTTAACACGCAATATCTCGTTTAATATTAAATATATCAAAAAACTGTAAAAAACTTTTTGACTGATTGTGAGCCTTTTTATATAGAATATAAGATTTCTTTTATGACATACATCAATCGAACACCCTCTATATAATTCATTACTTTTATTATTTTTAATATTTTGCATTCTTTCCCCTGTGTTTTTTTATACATTTCTATGATATTTATAATGATTCTTAAGGCTCCTAGGCTCTCGCCGCGGTCATGTGAGATCGTGCCGTCAGAGGCGACAATTGACACGCTGAGAATTCTTGCTCTCAAAATGAATGTAATACGAAGTCTAGTCATTTAGGCTTATGCACGCGACTAGGCTTCGTATTACATTTATTTTACGGCTGTTTATCAACTGTTAAGGGAAAGAGATAGACGGAGTATTTTTGAAGTGTGTAGAAATGATCTGAAGTAATCTTATTTTATGCAAATATCTTTTTATTTGCAAATGGCTCGCAAGAATTCTCAGCGTGTTATTTCTTGTCTTTGACGTCAAGATTTAGTATGCATTGGCCGCAGCGAGTACCCAGGTGCCTTAAGCCAACGATACAAAATATATGAAAACACGTTTACGTAATAAGAATTATTAAGGATTTAATAGAAACGTTATAAGCAATAATTCTTAGACTTCATTACACTACATATATTGCTACTACGCACATCATTGTCGCAATTGCGATTTTAGTCCGTGCACACATGTATACACATGCATGAAGGAATTTATATTATTCGAATACTTTCTCTCTTTATCATCTTATCTAATTTAAATATGCAAGGATCATTTCAAAAGTTATGCACATTGAGAATGTCAATAGAATAATATAAGTCAATATATTAATATAATCAGCTTTGATATTTATGTCAGTTGTGTATCAGACGTATTTTGGTAAGGTTCATTATTATTAATAAACTAAGTATAGGCTCTCCTGAATAAATCAAATAGGGAATAGTGAGAGAGGCAATCGGAGCCCCGCGCGGTAATTATTGCGCAATCAATATATAGTCAATAAGATAAATTAGTCGGTGACGATCATGGCGCAGAAAGATGTGCGCTGCTCTAATGAGCCGAAGATCCGAGTTCAAATCCGACCAAAAATCGTCGGTTTTATTTGACCGCCACCTCTCAGAAGAGTAATGGCAACCCACCGAGAATGTAATATCCTTTAGGTTGGTGCACTAGGGCAAAATTATTGTTACGAAACCAAAAGGGAGGCCTCGGATTTGATGAAGGCCGAACTTCAAAAAGCCATGGCTCAATCTTGAGCTGTAGAACCATTGAAGAAAAAGAAAAACTTGATAAATTTCTCAAAAAAAAAAAAAAAAAAAAAGACAAATTAGTCAATACATATTCGAACGTTTCGACACTTTCTTTGTGTCATCTTCAGCGTGTAAACAAAATTAATATACATGAAAATTACAAACAATATAAGATTAACGGTCAAAAGCGATAAAATGGTATAGTCGATCGGTCGACAAGCGCAGTCAAATCAATAAAATAATAAGAAAAACGAATAACGCATTTTTCAGCCTGCGTGTAATAATAATAAACCAAGTAAAGACTCTCCTGAATAAATCAAATAGAGAATAAGGAGAGAGGCAATCGGAGCCACGCGCGGTAATTATTGCGCAATCAATAGCGCTGAAGATGACATAAAGAAAGTGTCGAAACGTCCGAATATGTATTGACTAATTATCTTATTGACTATATATTGATTGCGCAATAATTACCGCGCGGGGCTCCGATTGCCTCTCTTACTATTCCCTATTTGATTTATTCAGGAGAACTTTCACTTGGTTTATTATTATTACACGCAGACTGAAAAATGTGTTATTCGTTTCTTTATTATTTTATTGATTTGACTGCGCTTGTCGATCGATCGACTATACCATTTTATCGCTTTTGACCGTTAATCTTATATCTTATATCTTTGTAATTTTCATGTATATTAAATGGTACGGTAGTATACCCTACCAGATAATGAGATAAATGCTAAATATCTAGGCATGACTCTCGACACAAAACTCCGGTGAAAAGAGCATGTTAAGAAAAAAGAATGGAGTTAGACATTAAGTATAAACAACATTATTCGCTTCTAGAAAGAATTTCCACAATGTCAATACGAAATGAGTTGTTGATATACAACCAGATCTTGAAACCGGTATGGCTTTATGGTATTCAGCTTTGAGGTTGCGCCAGAGATAGTAACATTAAAAGTATCCGGAAGTTTCGTAATAGAGTGTTGCGTAACATGGTGAACGCACCTTGGTATGTTCGTAACTCGGACATTCATCGGGACCTTGGGATCCCAAATGTCAAAGAAAAGATTATGCCGGAAAGCATGAAGCCTGGATTCGTTAATATGTGAACGTAGAGGCTCTTCAACTGCTGGACTATTAACACCATGTCCGAAGGCTGAAGAGAACCAAACCATTTGATCTTGTGTAAGACAAGAGCATATAGAGTGCGGAAGAAGGGAAACACCGCAGCTAGGGAAAAATCTAAAGGGCATCAGTGGATAGACTTTAGTTATTAAGCATGTAGTTAATGTGATAGAATAAAATTAATGGTTAGTCTTCTAGACTAGTTTTAATAGAGCAAATATCAGTAAAAAAAAAAGAAATTTATATTAATTTTGTTTATACGCTAAAGATGACACAAAAAAAGTGTCGAAACGTCCGAATATGTATTGACTAATTTATCTTATTGACTATATATTGATATATTGATTGCGCAATAATTACCGCGCGTGGCTCCGATTGCCTCTCTCACTATTCCCTATTTGGTTCATTATTATGTTCCTTGGAGTTAAATTATCTCTTTTCTGCAAGTCGCAATCTTGAAGTGGAAGAGAGAACTGATTCAAGTCTCTCGCAGTGATCAATGATCATATATTAAAATTTAAACTTTGCGAGGTAAGAACCCGACTTCATAAGAATTCCATGATGCTCTATTTACTTGAAGTTTGTGGAGGTAATGTAGTGAAGAAACTGAAGAAACTACTTAATTCATGAGAAACACTTTTAGAACATTATAAAGTGTCTATAAAGAAAGCGACAAAAATGGCATCTTGACAGGAATACCAGATTTGCCCAAATGTTGAAATGTTGTGTTAAAGCAAAATGAAGATGATTTTAGAGGTTTTGTATTCAATAAATTATTTTTTATGAGAAAATCTACAATATGCATAAATGTTTGAAGTAACCCTTATATAAATTAATTTTTTCTACATTTTTTGTTATTCTGTTAAATAATATAATTTTTTAATTTTTATTTTTCCACGTACAGAGTTTATTAGAAGAAATGTATAAAACATTTCAAACCTCTCCCCCTCCGCGCGCGTAATTGTAACCGAAATAAACCACCACGGTTTTAATTTTTTTCACTGGTCAAAAAACCGAAACTGAAACCGGAACAGTTATTTGATGTTTTATTAAACCATAACCGGAACCGAATTGAAATATCCCTTCAATCCGGGTCTTTGAATAAATGATAAATAAAATATAGTAATTATACAGCACGTACAGTTTGGTAAAATATAAAAGTATATTTAGCGGGAATTCCATGTAATTCCACTATGTGGCTATTAAATGTTATTATGCTTGTTATATTTCTTTGTTCTTTTCAAATATCAATTTCGTGTTTCCAATTATAATTAAATATTTAAATTAATAAAAGATATAGAACAATGTACACAAGGAAATAAACATGTATTCATACTGTGCACTTTACAGAAAGACACTCACCTATTTGCTTTTTTCCAGTTAAGAGGGCTGTTATATTTCCAGTTAATACAACAGGTTTGATGTAGAAAACTCCCCTCTTGCGCCAGAAATCAAATATCACAAATTTATAATAAATGTATAGAATGCTCAGGGCAGCGATAAAAGCCCCGATTAATTCTGCAAGTACCATTGCTAATCTGAAACATAACAATAAACACGTCTCTTGTAAAACGTTAAAACGTTAAAAAAAAATTTGGTGAGAATAATAAGTTAAATTAAATTTCTTCTTCACTATTCACTATTCGTATAAAGTTCTTAGATATTTTTCATTTGCGAAAGTACCGACTATCTCGAAAATTATATTTTGTTCGACTGTCTCGAAGCTATTTCTTATTTACACGTCTTGATCGAAGTACGCTACTGTAAAAACTGATTATAAATGCGTATGTATCCGCTTGTATATCATATCTCTATATATAGTTCTGAAGGACATTGATAATTATAGAAGAATAACAAGTTTATTGCAGCATAATTAAATAATGGCTTATCATGCAAAAACAACACTAATACATTATACAAGTTAAATCTTGTAAATGTGAACAATAATTTATCTTTCGTGTTTTGCAATTCGTTAATTAAGTGTACATGTGGTGACGGGAAATAAGAGTTAGATTACATAGTAAAAATGAAATTAGTATAATAAAGGTTAACATAGTATAAGAAAAAAGTAGGTTTCGGCTGGTAAATATCAATTAATAGTAACATTAAGGGGGGAAACCACTGTGACGGCCGGAAAAAAGCTATTTTCGTGAATTTTTTTGCGAGAAATAATAAATTTAATGAAATTGGTTTTTTATTTCTTTAAAGTACATATATATTGAACATATTGTAAAAAAAACCATTAAAAAATATTAATATTTGCGTCTTTAGCGTGTAGTGCCGCCATGTACCTCCGCAAAAAAATCGTGAGTGCGCTCGTGCTTCGTCAGAACGAGATGTTTGAAATTTTTATGTTATTTTAAACTATACGAATGTATGCTCTATTCCACAAGAGAACATTAGTTCTCCGCGCATAGACGCGTAGGAAGAGCAACAAAGTGGGGACTGGGAAGAGCATGGCGCGCTTCTCAGTGCGATATACATAATATGACATACGGCAGTGTGGAAGGGAGACTTTCTAGGCGTGACCTGTTCGGACCGGACGAGTTTTCGTCCGATCCGACTAATGTTCTCTCGTGGACGAGAGTATAGTTTCAGTTAAACGTACGGATTTTTTGAAATACTAAGACATCACAGACGCGCGCTTCGCCCGCGCTATTTAGCTTTGACATTATACTACATATTACTATTACAACAACTCCTTGATACACACAACTGTCAAAATATACGATAACAGCTGCTCATGAAGTAAGCGCAGGAGAGAACCACGCGGCATCGCGGAAAAGCGACAACAATAAACTTCGATAAAACTAGATGTCCAATCAAAAAAAAATCGTACGCTTACGTGAAGACAATTTTGTTATAAACATTCTGTTCAACTTTCAAATTATTTGGATAAAAATTGGCCGAGATACGCGAGCTCCCAGTATGTAGTTTCGAGAAAAATGCATTTAAAAGTATAAGCCTAAAAAATGTGGAGAGATTGACTGCAACGGTTGTCTCGAAACTTCGAATAAAAAGAAAACAAAAAACAACACGAGAGGCAAGGCCAAAGAAATACCAAGGGTTATCAAAAAAATTAGTGAGGGTCGTCGATTAGAAGTATATAGGCAACTTGACCCGGCTGCACACTACCTGAAAATATTTTCAGGTAGCATGCAGCCGGGTGCGAGCAACCTCCAAGAAAACTGCTGCAACTCCGTTAATATTACGACGTTCAATAAAACGTTAGAGATACATCGTTTCAAGACCCCAAACATTAAGAAAATATTTTAAAAAATCGATGTTTTAAAATCGTCACAGTGGTTTCCCCCCTTAACATTATAAAATGCCTGATATCAGTACAAAATTACCTTTTTAAAAAAAGGTAAATAAAGGTGCCAAATACACGTGGCAGTATATCACAATTTCAATTCATAACGAGTGCATGCATGATCAAACAAAGAATTTTCTACTAAATAGGTTTTACACCAAGAGCAATAAGTTCATGGTAGAACCAACAAATGGAACCTATCAGCAGAAACCCGGCTATCGCATATTAGGAGCTTATCTCATAATAGGGGACTTTCCTCTACACACGCGCACGTATGTGTGTGTGATTTTATTTCTCATTTGATGCTCAATATGCTTATAAATTTGCTTATAATTGCAGATCATTGTAAATTTTTGTTATGTTTACAGGATTGTCGCAGGAAACCAAGGACTTGTATTACTGTAAGCGCGTAAGCATGCACGCTTAGGTCCAGTTCCACAAACGTCGGTTAACTTTTAACCTTAAGTTAACTCACTCTTTATCTCTTTTTAAAAGGGACGTTAGAAAGAGACAAAGATAGTGAGTTAAACCTAAAGTTAAAAGTTAACCGACGTTTGTAGAACTGGGCCTTAGACTGTAAGCTCCCAAGTAGCAAAGATGACGTCATAGACGTCATTAAGACGTTATTAAGACGTCATTTGACGTCACTTTGCTACCTGAACTGGCGCCAGACTATGCGCGATTCGTGGTTCGTGATTCGCGGTTCGCCATTCGCGCCGATTCGCCAGTGGAGCGATTTTTTGACGGAATCAAAGAGATTAATCAAAATCGCGAATAACAAATGATGAACCATGAATAGTGGAGGGTCTATATAATGTCTACATAGGCAAACGGCGAATCTATAGTGAACCGCAAATCACGATCACGAATCGAGCATAGTCTAGCGCCAGCTGTTACACGAACGTCGCTCATGTATGGCCGTCGTTTATTTACAGAGCGCCAATGCCTCACCACGTGCCCAGGTAGCAGGATGACGTCTAAAGATGTCTTAATGACGTTTTATTGATGTTAGAGATGTCATTGTTATTAATACGTCATATGACGTCACTCTGCTACCTGAGTGTCTATATAACAACATACCCAGTGAGAAATGACCCGTCGAATCGACGTCTATCGGATCATTTCTCGCTGGGTAAAAGCATGCATGCAAGTATATAGGCTAAAATCCGAAATATATGTCGTTAAAATGCGGCGAATATAACCTTTTTTCTTCAACACTTCAATAAGCCAAGATTGCTTGGAAAGTAAACATTGCTAGGTTTTTATAATTATTTCATTATGTAAGTAGAACAATTTTTTACCTGATTTATAAAGCTTCTGGGAGCAACACACAGTTCGGAATGTTCACGGCAAGGATATGGATGTAACAAAATGGCGGTCGGTGTTATATGTGCTACGGTGTATACGGTATTATAGAGTAGAGGGAGAAGAGCTGTTAGCCGATGCTATATAGTCGAGACCCTGACCTGAATTCTTTTCTCCCAGTTAGTGCTCTACAGCCCCACTCTACCCTTCGTGCGAGATCTGAAAAGCATCTAATTGGTTAGTTCTAATGTAACAAAGAAGAGACGGAAGCTGATTGGTTATTTGAGTTATTTCCAATGGAACGTATATATATTTTTTTATTTTATTTTATTTCTTATTTTATTTTTATTTCCAGAGAGAAATGTTAAAATAATAAATAAGTTTTACCAGTACATACCGAGAGTATTTGATTGATTTGTCATATTATACAAAACACACACATTATACACACACACATATATTTATATAGGGAAGGACGGGGGAATTGGTACCAGAGGGCACTATAATGTGAACTCGTAAAGAAGTAAAACGTTCCACAAAAATGAAAAGTCACATGAATTTCATGTGACTTTCACATTAATTAATCTTCCACGTGAAAATTAGTCGGTTTTACAATGTACTACATGGTAAAGGTTATTGTTAAAGAAGAAAATAAAAATGAAAGAACGGAAAGGTCTGCATTACGGAGAATATCGATCAATTTGTTCGATACTCGGTCAGGTCCATCGCGATAACAATTATTTCAACATAACTTCATTAAAAGACCTTTTTTAATTTTCATTTAGTCCATACCTTTTATCGATATCTGCGTGAACAGATTGATCGATAAGCTATTTTCA